AGGGTTAAACAGATTAAAAATAAGGTCATTATGTCATTATCTCAGGAATGTCCTCATCTAATTATCTTATGTGAGTACATTTGTGTCTCACGAAATCAGCAGGCAAGTATTTTGTGGTTTTGCCGTGAAAGCTTAACTATTCACAGAAAATCGCCAAATATGTCCACTGGGGCGTGAATGACTCAATTCAGTGCATGACAGAGACAAAGTCAATGGAGGAATAGGGTTTCTACAATCCCTGAACATCTGCAGTAAAATTAAGGGTATTTGAAATTTTGGGAAATATGCTCCTGAGAAGATAAGCAGGAGAGAAAATATGAATCTCTAGTTGTCAGTCAGTCAGTTTAGCTTAACCTTAAAACTTGAAACAGCAAGCCTGGCTCTGTCCAAAAATACCAGCACTACTAAACCCAATTTATTAACATGTTATGTCTTGGTTGTTTAATTCGTCCAAAAACCCAAGGTAGCACTGGCCACCTTACAACCCCACCCCTGTAATCACTATAATTATCTGTGAAGGTGTTCTGCTCTGGTTTGACCTCCATCTGATCCACTAATCTCAGTATGTTTAAGGAGGAATGAAGGATGAGTGGAGGAGGAGTAGCGCACTGGAGAGAAGTGACATCATCCCCTCAAAATCGAATGGATCCAATCTGGCGGCATTTACCCCGGCGTAAGCTACCCGGAACCCTCCACCCTTTCTGTTAAAGAAACATTATGCTATAGTCAAATTCCTTAGTTATTTCTCATCCCTTGCTCCTGCATAAAAATAGGTAGCTCTTCAGTAGGAATGTTCACCACTGAAGCACAACCTCAGGAAACTGTGGATCTCCAAAGCTCTGGGTTTGTGGACTCCCTTGTTGATTCTGGCTCTGGAGGTAGAGATCACAGTTAGGGCATGGTGTTTGATGATTAGAGCTGATGATGAATAATGAAGAAAGAAAGAGAGAGAGAGAGGGGACTGTATCTGCTCTCGCTCCCTGACATCATATTTGGCCACCACCGACTGTTGGTCTTCTGGCCAATGTGGCAAATATTTCCACTGTTTTCCATAGTTGAGCATTTTTGCCTGTTTGCTTTTCCACAGGTCCCTGATGTCTGTGTAAGAAGGAGCAGTGAGGAAACTGAGACACCCAAGTTAATGTCATATCTGGAGTGACTCAAGTGCCCCTGCGTCTTTTTTCGCTGAGGGGAAATCTGGACATTCATTCATATTTGTCCTTTAGAGGGAGACTGTCGCCATGTTAATTTTGCAAGCCTGTATGACTCGTAAGTGGAAAGTGGAAATTTACTTTACACAATAGAAGAAATACAAATGCGGACATCAACACAGATGTTGTGTGTGCATCAGAAGTTAGGACACATGAAAGGAAGTGACACATCTAAGACGAAATGGGTGGAACCATACTTCCGTCTCTCTCTGCAGTTTACCAGAAGCATGAGAGGAACAGCGGACGCCTTCTTCTGGGCTAAACCTGCCGCTCCCTGTCCAAACACTCTGCTTCCTTTGCACTGAGATGCTGAATGATGTGGTTAGCTCTGTTCAGATCGCTGCTGTGTCCCAGACTCCCAGCCACATTTCAGATGACCTCACAGCACGACCGTTCGGAGCTATTTCCAAAGCTACAGCGCTACCTAGAACAGACTTTTCCTCACCGGTTAAAATCTGGATTATTGTATCAACATATGGTTTTGATTCGTTGAACGAGGGTGGAATTGTCGAAGAAGTGCAATGTAAGCAGCCCCCCCGTGTACATTACCCACTACAAACAGCAAAAGGGGCTTAGAAATGTCCCGAACCTCCATACCCTAAATTACAGACTTGCAAGGCCAGGAATACTCTTAAAAAGAAGAGTAAGGCAGAAAAAGAGGGTCTCATTGTGGGAACTGGTGGGTGCTGTGGCAGTGACCCACATCCTCTGACTCCCACCCCCTCTGCCCTGTTGCCTGCACATATCCCATTCGACCTGACCACCACCATGCAGTGCTTCAACTATCCATCCCCCTGCTGCACCTCCACCCCCGCTACCCCTCCTCCTCTTTACCATCTTTGTTTTGATGAGACCCGGCCACAGCACAATGGTAATTCCCACCATTTTCCATTCATCAGAAGGGCTTACAGCTATTCACATTTTATTGTTCACCATGTGAATCAGCATTACCGAATTCTCTTAAGGTGGGACAGTGAGGAGGAGGGAAACATCTGCTTGGAAGATAAAAAAAAAAACAAAGTTATTCCATTGTTCCAAGTGAAACCAGTATTTCTCAATTCTGTTCTGGAAGTAATTAAACTCCATCTGACATTTCTAATGATGCCAATAATAACAATAGTGATGAAATAATTAAATTAGAGCAGAGCCTCTGACAACACCTTTACATAAAAATAAATAAAACAAAGTCACTGTCAATGAAAGTGCCTGGTGCCCATGCTACCATGCTTGTAGCTCTTAGGAGCTATGATATGTCAAGAAAAGTTTAATTTACAGTGAATCTGAAATCATTTTCAATTCATTGTTATAAATCTAACTCATAGATTCTGGATACATGTTTGCATATTTCCTAAGATTCACAAATTAAAGATTATTTTCCACATGAGGAAGCAATGATATTAGAGAGGAAAAAAAGACTCATGGCTTCAACTGCTCGGGTTGAAATAAGTGAAATTGGGCAAACACAAGAAAGAGATGGAGAGTGAGGAGCTGTAGTGGATGATCGCTGAAAATAAGGCTCGCAGCACGTTTCGGTATTTCAGATTAATGGAAAAAGAAAATCATCCGATTGCATTCATATGGGGAAGCCACTGAAACAGGACTTTCTGGTGTCAGACGGTGAGAATTCTCCACAGTCTGGTGTCACTGCATATGGGTTTCCCTTAAAATGACACACACACTTTCCAAGTCATTTCCTCAACGATTCCACAATTCTCCATGACAAAGACGTCTGAGGCTGCAGCTGAAATGAGTAATAATCGAAACAGCGAAGTGGTGATGTGCCAATCTTTAAACTTCTCAACCCTACAGACGCTTGAGCAACTATACTGTACCGTCACCATCGACTGCTGACGATCCCGATCACGACAATGATGATGATGGCTCTGTAGCTGCCATTATTTATCACAGCTTTTTTTCTTTGCCTCTATGCCAGCGACAGGCAGTAAATGGAGCCATTATGTTTTTGAGGTGTCTGTCCCTCCGTCACATTCTTGTAAAAACTATATCTCAAGAATGCCAGAAGTGAATTTTGTCAAATTTGGAACATATGTTTCAATGGACTCAAAGATGAGCATAGTTAAAATGTGGTTGTCAGAGGTCAAAAGTCAAGGCCACAGTGACCTTACAAAACATGGTTTTTGGTCTTGTGAACGAAACATCTCAGGAACAGCCTGAGTAAATGTTTTGTTTTGGTACAAATGTTCACTTGGACTCAAAGATGAGAAGATTTGATTTTTGAGGTCAATGTCACGGTGACCTCATATGTGTCTGAGTATGAGACTAAAACGGCACTGGTTAGCAGCGGCATACAATCACAAAGCGATAATTCTAGTAGGTTGTTGAATAAAAACATTGCACTGTGAGATGTTAGATAGATAGAAGACTATACAAGGACATAAATGGCATTTTAAGTTGTCTTTTCACTTAGTGTGATAGAGCATCTGTTCACACTGAGGAATCCCTTTCTCAAGAATGAACTACATCTGCACACATGACCAACTGCCAACACATCCTCTGCATTCCCCCTTAACACAAAGGCAGTTCCCTTTGCCTATGAACAAAGTAAAAGCTTAAAGGTGCAGTGTGTAGAATTTAGTAGTGAAGTTGCATGTTGCAGCTTCCTGACCTCCCCCTCCCCTTCCAAACATGAGAGAGAACCTGTGGTAGCCTTCAGCTGTCATAAAAACTCAAAAGGTGTTAGTTTGAACTACTGCAAAAAACATGGTGCCCTACGTAGAGAGGACCCCCTCTTATGTAAATATAAAGTATTTGAATATAAAGGGTCCATTCTAGGGTAAAGAAAACAATAATTCATACATTTCAGATGATCACACATGAGTAAAAACATCATTAGGATTATTTTATATTTAATTTTTGCAAATACCTTTTCCTTAATCGTACCCACTGGACTTTTAATTTTGCTGCTATTTGCTGTTTTTCTTATAACAAGACCTTTTCTTCTAACATAAGGGGAACTGGAGCATTTCAACAGAGAATCAGAGGTCAATGGGTTTAAGGGGTTTGCTTAAATTATTGCTCATAAAACCACAGAGTAATATTTCATAATTCTGTTGTGACTTGGGGTTGATTATTCCAAAGGTTAAA